TCTCCATAAAGCTTGTCAGCAGATGGAAGCATAAAGTGCTCCAAAATCTCCTGGTAGATGGCTGCATTGACTTTGGACTTGATAAAACACAATGGACCAACACCAGCAGATGTCACGGCAGCCCAAATCATCACTGACTTCAGAAACTTCACACTGGACTTCAAGCAGATTGGATTCTGTGCCTCTCCAGTCTTCTTCCAGACTCCAGACCTTGATTTCCAAATGAAATACAATATCTGAAAAGAGGACTTTGGAGCACTGAGCAACAGTCCAGTTCTTTTTCTCCTTAGCCAAGGTAAGATGCTTCTGACGTTGTTTCTGTTTCAGAAGTGGCTTGGTAGCCCTTTTCCTGAAAATATCTGAGCGTGGTTACTCTTGATGCACTGACTCCAGCTTCAGTCCACTCCCAAGTGTTTGAATCGGCTTTGCTTGACAGTATTCTCAAGCTTGCGGTCATCCCTGTTGCTTGTGCACCTTTTCCTACCCAATTTCTTCCTTCCAGTCAACTTTGCATTTAATATCCTTTGATACAGCACTCTGTGAACAGCCACCCCTTTCAGTAATGATCTTCTGTGACTTACCCTCTTTGTGGAGGGTGTCAGTGATTGTCTTCTGGACCATTGCCAAGTCAGCAGTCTTCCCCATTATTGTGGATTCAAAGAACAAGAGATACCTGGAATTTATACTGTAGGGATGGTCATTTAATGAAACTCAAATGTAAATATTCTAATATTTTGAGATACTGGATTTTTGACTTTCATGAGCTGTAAGCTCTAATCATCAAAATTAAAACAAAACAAAAATACTTTTGAAATGTTTTACTTTACATCTAATGAATCTAGAATATATGAAAAGTTCACTTTTTGAAATAAGTTACCAAAAAAAAACGAACTTTTTCACAATATTCAAATTTTTTGAGATGCACCTGTATATATATAAACTAATTATTAAATTAATAAATATAATCCTAATTCATATTAAACTTAGATAAAAATACATTCAATATATTACCTGTTCTCCAATTTAGGATTCGTATGCTGGCCTTTCCACAAGAGAGGAACACACGGTCACCGCGGGGGCTCAGAATCAGCCTCCCGTCATCCCCACCACACCCTGTGACTTCTGGCCCCCAGACGTGCAACCTGTGGAGGGGCTCCGTCCGTTCATCGGACACCTCCCACACACACACACATCCCTCTGCGGAGCCGCTGAACAGCAGAGGACCCTGGGACTGTGGAGAGAATGAAGGGTAAATGCCACTTTGTTTCCATGACAACCCGTGCCAACTAACAGTATTAAATATGGAAAGAGAGTCACCTCTGTTTGATGCTAGAGTATTCTTTTTCTTATCACAACCTATGTCTTATCTCAATTGCTACATGATTTATTTACTTCTATTCTGTATCTATTGATTTCTTTATATTATATTGCTCTGCTCAGTTTCATTTCACAAAAGTCATAAAAAGAGACAGAGATTGCATTAAATGTTGGCATTTAATAGCTTGTACATCTCTGTGAACTTTAGACTGTGTTTAAAGATCGCGAGGAGAAAACTGCTCTCAAGGGATTCCTCTACAGGCAACACTTCAGCTTTGAGCGGAGGCACAATCTTTTTTTTTTTAAACATGTGCTGCTCTAAAGGGCAGACTCGGAAAGTTCTAGATGCCAGCACAGTTCTGTTGCCATGGTACTCGCCCACCTGTAGTGTGGTGACTGCGTCCAGGTGTGCGTTCTCTGACTGACAGTTCTCCAGCGAGCTCCAGCTCCACACCTGCAGCTTCCCAGCGTCTAGTGTAAGATCAATAACACTGAGCCTCAGACACACCTGATATGTCGAGACTGATGCAAGGCATGGTCAACTCAACCTCACTCTCACAAACACGGATACCTACCTGAACCTGTAACAATGAAGCCCTCTCCTTCAGGAATGAAGCACAGGCTTGAGACTGCATTGAATGTGTAGATGGATTTGACGCACTGACCTGCAGGAATAACAACGTGATGCAAACCCCAAACACACTTGAGTTTAATTCACCCTCATCGGCAGGGGACGAAAAAAGCTGTGGTGTCCAAAAAAAGAGTGAGTAGTACCCTCTCCATCAGTTATATAATGACTGAGATTCAGATAATGGACGCTCAGAACAACAGCACATCTACTGTACACTCTCTATCCTTTACCATTTCAATTTTAAAAATAGTTTAAAATGGATACTTTTAATTTGACAATACATTTCTAATGCTACATTACATTTTAAGCAGGATTTGGCAAAATTCAGAATTTTGAAAATTGGCATCCTTTTGATTAATGAGTGTGAATTTCAATCACATTGCTCACACATCACAGGATGTTGAATTGGAATTTGATATAATTTGTATATAACAAATATGTAATACACTATAGCCACACAGCTGGAAGAGGTGTTAGTGAGGCCAGCAGGGTATCTATTGATTTCTTTATATTATATTGCTCTGCTCAGTTTCATTTCACAAAAGTCATAAATCACTAACTAAAAAGAGACAGAGATTGCATTAAATGTTGGCATTTAATAGCTTGTACATCTCTGTGAACTTTAGACTGTGTTTAAAGATCGCGAGGAGAAAACTGCTCTCAAGGGATTCCTCTACAGGCAACACTTCAGCTTTGAGCGGAGGCACAATCTTTTTTTTTTTAAACATGTGCTGCTCTAAAGGGCAGACTCGGAAAGTTCTAGATGCCAGCACAGTTCTGTTGCCATGGTACTCGCCCACCTGTAGTGTGGTGACTGCGTCCAGGTGTGCGTTCTCTGACTGACAGTTCTCCAGCGAGCTCCAGCTCCACACCTGCAGCTTCCCAGCGTCTAGTGTAAGATCAATAACACTGAGCCTCAGACACACCTGATATGTCGAGACTGATGCAAGGCATGGTCAACTCAACCTCACTCTCACAAACACGGATACCTACCTGAACCTGTAACAATGAAGCCCTCTCCTTCAGGAATGAAGCACAGGCTTGAGACTGCATTGAATGTGTAGATGGATTTGACGCACTGACCTGCAGGAATAACAACGTGATGCAAACCCCAAACACACTTGAGTTTAATTCACCCTCATCGGCAGGGGACGAAAAAAGCTGTGGTGTCCAAAAAAAGAGTGAGTAGTACCCTCTCCATCAGTTATATAATGACTGAGATTCAGATAATGGACGCTCAGAACAACAGCACATCTACTGTACACTCTCTATCCTTTACCATTTCAATTTTAAAAATAGTTTAAAATGGATACTTTTAATTTGACAATACATTTCTAATGCTACATTACATTTTAAGCAGGATTTGGCAAAATTCAGAATTTTGAAAATTGGCATCCTTTTGATTAATGAGTGTGAATTTCAATCACATTGCTCACACATCACAGGATGTTGAATTGGAATTTGATATAATTTGTATATAACAAATATGTAATACACTATAGCCACACAGCTGGAAGAGGTGTTAGTGAGGCCAGCAGGGGGTGCTCACCCTGTGGTCTGTGTGGGTCCTAACGCCCCAGTATAGTGACGGGGACACTTTACTGTCAACAAGCACCGTCCTTTGGATGAGACGTTAAACCCGAGGTCCTGACTCTCTGTGGTCATTAAAAATCCCTTTCGAAAATAGTAGAGGTGTGACCTCGGCATCCTGGGCAAATTTGCCCATTGGCCTCTGATCATCATGGCCTCCTAACAATCCCCATATCTGCAAATTGGCTTCATCACTCTGTCTCCTCTCCCCCAATAAGCTGGTGTGTGGTGGGCGTTCTGGCGCACTATGGCTGCCGTCGCATCATCCAGGTGGATGCTGCACACTGGTGGTGGATGAGGAGATACCCCCTGACAATGTAAAGCGCTTTGAGTGCCTAGAAAAGCGCTATATAAATGTAATGAATTATTATTATTTTAGTAATGACTAATAACAAATATGATTATATTACAATTTGATATTCTTGTGATATTTTTGTCTGTACTAGTTTGTGAAATGGCAGTTTTAGATAATAAAAATAAGCATATATTTATAATAACCTACCATACAAAAGTATGAGATAGGTAAGATTTTTTTATGTTTTTGAAAGAAGTATTTTTTGCTCGCCAAGACTGCATTTATTTAATCAAAAATACAGTAAAACATGAATACTGTGAAATATCACAATTTAAAATAACCGTTTTCCATTTTTAATATATATAGATATGTATATTTTTTTTTTATTAAATCATTCTAATATGCTGATTTGGTGCTCAAGAAACATTTCGGATTATTATCAATGTTAAAAACGTTTTGCTATGATCTACAGAACTTCAGACGAGAATTCATTTCAAGTCTGATATATTAAATAGTTTTGTATTTGCATTCCTCCTTATAATCAAATTAGTATTCAACAGTTCTACCTTATAATTTAAAGGACATTCATAATTCTTAAGCTGCTCAACCTTCATTTGAAAATGACTGCTGAGGCCACACATTCGTGTGTGTGTGTGTGTGTGTCATGGCCGCAGCGGAGTGCATTTGGGCTTTCCGCACACCCGCATGAATTTCTAGCAGCACCCGTTGTAACTGCCAGCGTTAATGCAGGGAAGTGAGTGCATTTTGATATGGCTGACTTAAGGCTACTACTTTTTACAATGTGCCTTATAACAACTATAAAGATAAATATAAGGACTTGTGAATGTATGTTAGCCATGTGTACCTGTCATCTTGCAAACTGACTTCCCAAGGTATTTGGATTCCGTTTCTGTTGCTTGTCTTGTGGATCCAAATAAAATAATAAAATGTGTGTGTGTGTGTGTGTGTGTGTGTGAGAGAGAAAGACTCACCCGAGCTCAAAGCCCAAATTCTCACACAACAGTCTGTGGAACCACTTAGAACAAATCTTTCCTTTTCAGCCAAGTCAAATACACGTGCTGTGGAAAAACAGATCAAGAGAATGAAAGTTGAAGACAGAAAACAAGAACAAGTGACTGCAGAGAAAATTGAGAACGAAGGACAAAGGATGTGAAGAACAAATGCACTGTCAAAACAGCAAGACAAGGAGTGATGGAGAGCAAAAGGGACAGATGGGGAAGAGGGCATAAGTAGCTGGAACAAAAGAGGTGAGAGAAAAGAGAGAGCATGAAGGATGAGTGAACAATCTGTACATCTGTATCAGCCGGCTGGCCCCGTCATCAGGATCAATTATTCTTTACTTTCCCAGGCTTGAGAGAGTGTGAGTCTGTGTGTGTGTGTATGTGTACCCAATCTCCTGCAGTACTCTGGAGGTGGTGCACTGAGACAGGTGACTCCACCGCTGTGACCTCCCAAATTGCGCTGTTCCGTTGCCGTGGGAACGTGCCACACTTTAACTGTTGTATCTCGACTTAAATTGGAAGAAACAGTAGGTGAAGAGCAGAGAAGAGAGGCGTTAACGGATACGTCAGCAATTTCACAGTCAGTCAGTCATAAACTGTTGACTTTTTCCGGTACCTGCCAGAAATCACAAGATTGTCGACGGCGACCGCACAGGTGATGATGTCACTATGACCCTCCAGAGTTCTGAGATGAAACTTGGCCTTTTCCCAAGTTTGTTTGCGAGATTTGAACTCGGCATCTGCAGCGTATGAAGACAAACAAACGGTTTCATATAAACTGAGGTCATGTTTTTTTCCTCTCCCATGAATGCTGATAAACTAACCATCTGTTATATCATCGCATGAGACAGCCATAAGGCAGAACTTCCTGTGAAAGACAAGCAGTCTTGTAATCAACATCTGTGCGAGTAACTGTAATTGTGTGTGTGATTAGTGCACTAATTTGACCTTCTTGTTCTTCTGCACTGGGGCTGACGGGGAGATGCGTTTCTCCTCTGCCATCTGTCTGGCTTCCATCGATTCTTTCATTCTCTTGTCTCTCCTCTCGAGCAATCTTCAGCGCAGGACGACAGGCAACAAGTTGCTCTGTGACCTCCTCGCTATCATGAAAAATAAACATCAAGCACAAAAATATCACTGTGAATTATTCTCATGCCTGTCCATAGGTGTTAAACAAACACTGCTTGTCTTGTTATACCTTTGTTGTAACAAGTATATTATTAAATAACAATGTGTGAGACAGAAAGTCCGGGTGTGGGAGTTCAAGGATAGTTTTTTTAAAGAAATATGATGAATCAATACTGCCTAGACGCCAGAGAGCGGAAGACTAGCCATGGGCAGAGGTCTAGAGTTTAATCTTACGCGCCCTGGCCGTCTCGCTCTCTCTCCTTCTACATCTAGTCGCTCATTCTTACACTTGTCTTTTCATTTTATCCTTCTCCTTTCCCACAATTCCTTGAGTTTGCTGGGGGCCAGAATGCTGCAGCAGAAGCTCGGCCAATCTGGAGCGAAGCTCTTTGAGACCTACAAAGAGTGATGTGTGATAATCATAAAAGACAAATTTCAGTTATGGTTTAACTGGATACCTTAGTTCTCCTTAAAATTATTTCTATTTAGTGAATCATTCCCGAGTGATCTTTTTATGTGATCTGAACTGAACATACATGGTCTCTATTAAAGATTCAATGTGCAAAAAATCTGCACTGTTCTCAAGTGAGTGAATAAGAGCATGATAATTCTGTACCTTTCCAATCTGGAGCGAAGCTCCGCCTTCTTTGAGACCTACAAAGAGTGATGTGTGATAATCATAAAAGACAAATTTCAGTTATGGTTTAACTGGATACCTTAGTTCTCCTTAAAATTATTTCTATTTAGTGAATCATTCCCGAGTGATCTTTTTATGTGATCTGAACTGAACATACATGGTCTCTATTAAAGATTCAATGTGCAAAAAATCTGCACTGTTCTCAAGTGAGTGAATAAGAGCATGATAATTCTGTACCTTTATTTTTTCCTCGGGAGTGAGGGAAATTTTGATCTCCAAGTTTTCAATTTGCCTTAACTTCTTTTGGAGTTTCCTCACCTCCCCCATCTGACTTCAGTGTAAACACAAACTCAGTGCCGATGGAATTCAAACTGCAAGGATTCTTCGACTAGTCACTGAGCTCTTTTTTAGACGTGCATGCTTTCATCGATGTTTTATATGAAGTGAATCCACGGTTGATACTGTAGACAAGGGTTAACTGATTTGTTGTTGCTCTACTCCAGACTACACTCACGGATACTGTGTACGTGTACGCAAACCTCATCAGCCGGAAATCAACGGCTGTAAGAAGTGACCTCATCTGAAGGAAACATGTCTGTGAATCTCTCTGGCGACATCGCGTGGATTTAGGAGAACGCTTTTCGTTTGTTCTCTTTTATTTGCATGCTCCTAGTACAGTGTAATAAAAAAAATAAATACAACAGTAACTAAAGTGTCACATAGCATACGTAATGAAAAGCATAATCAGACATAATAATAAACAAAAATGTTCAAATGAAATGAAAAATATTTGTGTACGTAGGCCTAAATTCAAATATAAAACAGAATTCAATACGTCGTAGATGTCCATAGTACTTATGGCAACTTAACTGAGGATTCGATTTTATGATATATAAATTCCATTTCGACACTTGCAATACAATTTTCATGCCATTTTATTAGATTTTCATACTATTTTAAAATTCCCTGATATTTCCCTGGCTATTGAAACCTTGTACACTTCCCATTCACATTTAATCGAGACAGGGGAAAGCCGCAGGTTCTTGGTTGGACATACATTGTTGTGTAGTATATATCTATCATTAAATTTGGAAACATGCATTTGTAGTGAAAAATGGAAACCTTAGAAAAAAAAAATCATATTTTTTTTAAATTACATCTAGTAATTAAATTACTAAAAGTAATATTTAAGCGAAAAACTAAACGAAAAATCTGGACCTTGTGTATGTGTGCAAATTTTTTCTTAACAATATGAAATTTCACTAACAATAAATTCAACATCTAAATCTGTGTTTTCATAAGATAAAATTGTGTATTTTAGTTAAAGAGAATAATTAACATCCTAAAACAGGGCTGTCCAAACTCGGTCCTGGAGGGCCGGTGTCCTGCAGAGTTTAGCTCCAACTTGCCTCAACACACCTGACTGGAAGTTTCTAGTATGCCTAGTTAAGAGCTTGATTAGCTAGTTCAGGTGTGTTTAATTCGGGTTGGAGCTAAACTCTGCAGGACACCGGCCCTCCAGGACCGAGTTTGGACAGCCCTGTCCTAAAACTATTTTCCTGGACATGTTTGACCTTACTAAACGGAAATGACGTCAGGACGCACGGGCAGCAATCGCACAGCTCGGGAGGAAGTGCTATGTAGACAGTTCGGCTAACTCCGTAAGAAGAAGAAAAAAATAGAAGGAAAAAAAATAAATAAAAAAAAACTAATTGAAATTCTTCAATTGGGTGGGTTCGGAAAGACTTCGCAAACTACCCCGATCGGAGGAAATCCCCGGCGGGCGAAGTAAAAGTCTTGAGAGCTGGTAATCGGTCTTTATTTTTCACTTTGAAGCTTGTTTTTGGCTGTTGATGTGAGCCGCTGGCGCTGCTGTCGCCGGAAGTCTGCGTAAAACCGCCTCGGTCCCAGCGTCGACGTTTTTTCCCTTCTTGTTCTGTTTTTTTCAATCGTTTTTCGCCTTTCCTTTTTTTATTTTAGCAGGCAGTAGCGTGAACGCGTCATGCTGTGGGCTGCAGGTCCGCCTTCGTTATCGTTCAGCAGATTCGCCGCAGCCTGTCATGTGCAGATATTTAGATGGGATGGGTTATTTGTAAATAAATATTTGAACATTTTTAATGTAATCAAAAAACATGATTTTACAGTGCATTGTTTTTAATAAAGAATTAAGCAAAGCACATTCTCTTTTCTACAACAAAATGATACATTGCACCCAGATAAACACAAGAGCTAAGTTACTATGAAGACGCTATCTGTAACAATATAACCTAAACACAGAGACTCACGAGCGATGATGGTTCTGTCATATGAAGTGTATTACAGTCACGTATGAGGGCTTTATAGCAACTAGCTAATGCGAAATGGATGATTTATTTGTTCCGGTGTTGACCATAAATAAACGTAGGATGGACACCAGTTTCATAAAAAAGGTTTACCAAATAAACCAGGCTTATTTCAGTTAGTCTGACTTATTTTGAACTAAATCAACTGACAAGAAGTCAGACTAACTGAAATAAACCTGGCTTATTTGGTAAACTTGTTTTATGAAACAGTACCCAGCTCTTCCTGCACAAGTCATATTGTCCAATTCCATATATAATTGTGTTATTGAAAGTGTTTATTAGTAAAAATGTGCATTTACTATTGTTATTATTTTCTTTGTGAATCTTTTGTCAAATTATATCCCCCACAGGTACATTTTTTTATTTTTTTATTTAAATGTATAATGTATAACTCTGTCCCTATCCTTAACCTCTCACTTTAAAAGGTCAACGGTTATAGTGTGTGCACAGTTTTTGCTTATCAAAATGTTTACTTTCTTGTGTCAGGGGTGATGGAGGATTCCCATTTTAATTCTTCATATTTCTGGTCCCCTGTACAGGGACAGGTAAGCACACTGATATAGACATTTAAACTGTCCACATTTGAATTTTATGCCTGGCCTGTGTTAGCATTAATATATTTTTAAATATATTTTTATATTTTATATATTTTTTTTAAAAAGCATATATTTTTTAAATATATTAAAAAATACAAAAAGTTGTTTAAAATTGTAAAAAAAAATGTTAAATTGTAAAAAATGTCAATTTTACTTTTTTAATTGTATTTTTTATCAAATAAATGCAGCCTTAGTGAACATATAAGACCTCTTTAACAAAATAAAAAAAAACTCTTACCAAACCCAAACTTTTTTTTTTACAGTTGTTTTTAACCAATTAACCAAAAGCCAAATGTTTTTGTCTTTTAGATTGAGAATGTTGTATTTCTCAATAAGGTAAAAGAGCAGCTTGGTCAGGACAAAGGCCCCACCTACTCGCATGGCCCCGCCCACTATCCCACCACAGCAGTGGTGGCGGTTGCTGGGGGTGCCATGGATACAATGACAAGGACACTAAAACAGCAGCATGCACAACCGTCTCAGTCCTCACACAGTATCACAGTGTTGCCGGGACCGCCTACCGGCATCATGACGGCAGGTACCATACGTGTGTTTATTATTAATCACTAATGATTACAGGGGTTTCTCTGGTTAGTTTATTTGCACTTTCTTTCACTTTCATAAATCTTCCATCACTGCCTCACCCTTTCTAGCGGGTTTGGTCACTCTGGTGTCTCCAGTGTCATCTGCTCCGTCCCTTATTCCTGGACATCCATCCACCACCATGATAACAGTCCAGACTGGTAATGCACCTTATTTCACATAAACATTAACATGCACACTGTATGATTTTTGCCACAATATTGCTATTTAAATGCTTTTTAGCATTTCCTTCTTTTCATTTTGATTGTACAATCAAAATTATGCCAAATGTGTTCACAAGAAGCAGCAGCCATGACTTTCATCATTTGCCCAGGCACAACCCGCTCTGACATCTTTTTTTTTTTCTTCGCAGTATTGTGTCCTGATATTTACAGTATTTATGTTTTATATTTTCGCTTGTCCATTTCTGTCAGTTTTTTTCTTTCTTGTGAAGTGGCCTTGATCTGTAGGAAAGGTGCTTGATATGTTTATTATCATCATCATTATTATATTGTACAAGTAAAACTTGTACCCGGCTTTTCAAGCGACCTTCATGGGTCCCCGTTCAAACTGAGCTCACAAACATCTCTGTCTGCGTTGCTTGGCATTATTGCACTCTAATTTTGTGTGTGCAATATGCCTGAGACAGGAACAGGTACACTTATTGTCTCATCAGTCTTGGCTCACATAATTAAAGCATTTTACTCTTGCATGACTCCACCAGACAAGAAAAATTACTCCGTGCCCTGCTCACCGGTTATCATCCCGTTACCGTCGAAACGAGGCAGAAAGAAGAAAGAATCACTCCCATTGGTTGACTCACCTACTGGGACAGATCCCTTGATTTTGGGTCTTTCAGGACAGGTATGACAACTATGCATATAGAGGAATCCTTATTGACATAGTCTGTATTAGTGATTAGCCCAGATAAGATTATTTTTTTTATTGTAAGTTTTTATTTTTACTATGGCTGCATTTAGTTGATCAAAAACAGTAGAAATAGTAAAATTGTGAAATACTATTACAATTTAAAATGTATACATTTTAATATACTTTAAAATGTAATTTATTCCAGTGAATTAATCAACTTTTACCCCGTGAATAAATCAGCAAAGCTGAATTTTCTATCTTCAGTGTCACATGATTCTTCAGAAATCATTTTAATATGCGGATTTGGGGCTCAAGAAACATTTCTCATTATTATCAGTGTTGAAAACAGTTTTTGTGGAAGCTGATACATTTCTTTAATGAATAGAAATTTTCTGCACTTGTCTCACTAACACAAGCACTCGATTCTATTTCTATTTTATCAACTTGTTTTCTTTTTATTTATATAAAAAAAGCTTGACCCTCTAACACTTGCACTCTCAATTCTATTTTTATTCGAACTACTTGTTTTATTTTTATTTATTATAAATAATGACCCTCTAACACTAGCGTTCTCTAACCTTTTTCAATTATTTCGACTTGTTTTCTTTTTACTTATTTAAAAACAAAAATTTACCCTCTAACACTAGCATTCTCTATTCTTTTTCTATTCTATCTACTTGGTTTCTTTTTATTTATTATAAAAAAACCTTGCTATGTGTACTGCGTTAGAATAACTGAGACTTGTCATAGCACTTACATATTATTGCTGTTTTGTTGGTTTTGATTGCTTCTTTTGTCCTCATTTGTTAGTCGCTTTGGATAAAAGCATTTATTTGAAATATAAATATTGTGTATCATTATACGTGTCTTTCTGTCACGTTTGATGATTAACAAACTTTTGAATGGTAATGTATATGCAAAGTAATCTTAAAGGGGTCATATGATGCTGCTAAAAAGAACATTATTTTGTGTATTTGGTGTAATGAAATGTGTTTATGTGGTTTAAGGTTCAAAAAACACATTATTTTCCACATACTGTACATTATTGTTTCTCCTCTATGCCCCACCTTTCTGAAATGTGTCGATTCTTACAAAGCTCATCGGTCTGAAAAGTGAGGTGTGCTCTGATTGGCCAGCTATCCAGTGCGTTGTGATTGGCCGAATACCTCAAGCGTGTGACGGAAATGTTACGCCCCTTACCATACTGTGATGCCGTGTCCCGGCTGGAGCGACGAGACAAAAACATG